TACACTCACTTCTGCATTTGCTCCCACAAGCACACAACACTTCTACCTCTGCCCCTCTTATATTCCTTGAGATACTCGAAGAATCTCTCTCAAGCATGTTGCCAATGATATGGAAAACAGAAGAGAGAAGTTTGCTACAAGAAAAATTGGGCCTTTCGAAAACATCAAGATGATAAATTCCAACGTGGCAAAACTCAAGTTGTCACCATGCATGAAGAATTTAGTCCAACCTTCGATGTTGATGTGTCGTCAAAACATGAACCAACACCAGATAAATCCCTAAGTCGTCCTATCCCCAAAGCGTCCAAGTTTGTGCACAGTGACTCAGCGGATCAGCTTCAAATAATTCAGCATCTTTTGAAGAAGAGACATTTTGATCGCCAGCCAGAACGGCTTTTCTACTGGCATGGTAAAACAGAAGAAGAAGCTAGCTGGGAAAGCGAGAAAGATTTTTGAAACGTAACTATCTCGTAGCCGACTTTAAACAGCGCCAACGAGAAATCAATTGTACGGAACCACATTTTCATGTTCTATAATTTTCAAAATACGTCTTAAAATGTATATTTGTGCAGGTCTCTTGTTGACGTATACAGAATGTACCCACATACAAGGATAGATGATGCATATATTTATAGTAGTGAAAGGAAAGACGACATCATAGGAGGAACGACATGCACACAAGAACCAGAAAGAAGAATTAGGATTGTTTACATATATCGTAGGAATCAGTTCTGCAAATAATTCCACATCTTATTTCGCCAACTACCGTCCAACACCTCATAACTGCGGACGATACGTATAATCCCGATACAGGAGAACTACTCTTCTCAATCCAAACGTGCTTCGTGTTTCTCACGGAAGCAAGCGTGTCACACTTTTCTTATAAAGAATTATTGCCGTATGACAGCTATTTTCTATGAGAACCAGGTCGATTTCTTGCGCACTCTTCTTTACGGGGATGACATGCGTGGTGTGTATCAATCCTGGCACCATTCTTTCAAAAGGGGAAAGACCTGTAAGATTTTCGAGGTTAGCTGTTTCACTTCTCGCACTCAGTGCTCTGCGGGTGTCTATCATGATCATCCATGGCGGTGGATGGGCTTTCTCTTCCTCCAACACCAATCGTGCACTTTGGCGACTTCACCACAGTTGATCCTACTCTCTACTAGCTTTTACCATAGCTGGTCAAGGGTTTTTACGATCCGTAAACTGCCCCGGTCACTATGCTTACAAATGCATACTTTTTCTTGCCACTTAGCCGTGGAGCTTCACTGCACCCACGGTGGGCCCGTCACATCTCAACAGTACTGTCACATTGCGACAAGGATGAGCCATATTAAAAGCCAAGGGATTCTACTCGCAACTCATAGTCGCCACCGGCACAAAATGCTCCACCTTACAGTTGCTTATATCGTTCCTCTAGTTATACAGAACGTAACCACGACGTGATATCAAATGTACGCCCTAAAGACCACAATATATGCTCTCTTTTTATATCTTATCCCGAGACCACGGCTCATTGTCGCAGCTGCTATCCGAGCCCAGATCAAGACACTTAGCGATAACTATATGTTTACACTCGCGCAAAGCTAGCGCTCCCTACCAGAGTAGTTTCATGAATCACCCAACCTTCGCGTCCAAACCAGAAAAAAAAGCATAAATCCTGCGAATTCGGAATTAAGTCGACCCGAGTATCGTGGCGTGACTGCCATGTCATACCTAGTATGAGAATGTATTTCGTATTCATATTCAAGATGAGATAACTTTCCACGCTAACTATGTCATTCAGTTTAGTATTTCAGCAGATCGTTGACAACTAAACGCGTGTCTTCGCGCAAGCTTTTCCGATTCTGTGCCGGTCTTTGTAATCTTCAATGTATCCGCGTTCTGTCTACCGTTTTCTATCGTCTTGCGTCGTATGAATGGCATGACGCATCTTCGTATATCGTGACTTCTCACAGCTTCACAAATCCAGAAAGTCGATGTTAACAACCAACTATCCTGGTCCATATCGCGTGGAACGAGTTGTTCCTTGGAAGGTGATTTTCAGCGGCCACGACTTTAACAAGATACAATTAAGTCCAGATTTTTCGGTAAGTGATCGTTACGTTTCTACTGGGCTCTCGTACATGCCACGCTTTTCCTCGAAAATAAGCGAGTTGTATTCTTTTGGCTGCTTGATTTTCTTTTACATCCACTCGACAGCGAGTAAAGCAAACCTTTAGCGCAAATATCGTCGGAGTTATAAAAAATCTCGAAGAATCGTGACTGCTTGTAATTACTACGTTGTTGTCGCGATTGTTGGACTCGAACACGGGTGAAGTGGCCTCGAATTGTGTATTGAATCTTCACAACTGCCGCCTTTTGACGATGCATTTTCGCAAGCAATTTACAAGACGACGGGCTACAATATTTCGACCATGAATTTGCAGCTTATGTGCTACCAACCATTGTCGCATCTTATTCATTTTGCTATGCGCTCGATGCTGAGTCACACAGTAGTTTAACGATGGCTCGAAGACATTTGATGCATTAGAATCGAGGTGACAAGCCTTTGTCCTGGTGCGTATAACCCGAAAGGAAATCGTATAAATTGCTGTAATGCGTGCTTCGCACAATCACGACGTTTTTTTAAAACCACAAGTCGAGCAAGAAAACTATGCGTTGAATATCTGCACTGGCAGCCGCATATTCAGAAAATACGTCACTATCAATAGCATGCAACCAATAAAACCAGACTTGTTTTCGTGCATCCTTAACTTAAACCTGGACAAATTTACTCGCAACTTGATTGATGACTTTCTGCCTTTGAAAACGCAATCGGTTCTCTAAATTAATCTTGTTCCATGGCTCGAACGTCAAAACCATCCGGTTTATAACTATGTTTCGCACAGAAGAGAAAGGTTTGTGCCATAATGGGGAAATCACTTGCTCGAGAATGCGAAAGCGAATAGCACAAAATTGAGTTGGAAGCTTGTTTTAATGCATCGTAAGGGTGTATGTCACGTTGAAAGATCATAAAAAACACTGAGCTGAAGCTTTAGAGAGGTACCATCGAAAGTAGTGGCAACCAGATTAAAAATTTCTACAAGGTACACACCAGCATTCACTTTCGAGCGCCGTTGCGAATGAATTGATCAGAACTTGTACATCTGTTTCATATCTTCGAGATATCTCAGAGGTTCGGGGCTTTGACGAAAAACTTGGTGGCCACTGTTTATAAGTAAATTTGATGTCTTTTGTATCGAAAAGATAAAGTGCTGATATAATGTTGTACTGTTGATTATGTAATAGCTTTTTAGAACGTGATTGAGGATATGAATGAATCTTCATCAATTGTAAAGGATGCGTTGGACATAGTCACTTGAACGATCTTCAACATTATCGATGCAAAGCTTTGTTTGAACCTCTTGATGCGTACAAGGCATACTCTGTTTACGCTGCATTGACGATCATACAGATTATAAACAGACTGAAAAACGACCAACAAAGTTTTTTCTACTTGGAAGTATAGAAAACCTCTCACCAAGTATTAAGGTCCTGTAAACTACTTCTCTGCTACTCAACGTCGCTTTGTTCAGGACTATATCATTCAATACATGATAATACTCGGGATTAGCTTCAACACAGTCACGCAGTGCAAATGTCTGCAGTCCACACTTTTCGATAAAATCGTCACCGCTTTTCTTGCAGTAGTCTAACATGTTTACCACACAGAAAATTCCTTACCACACGGACCTGCCTTCATAAATTTGCAAAAAACACACTCAGCTTTAGGTGCTAGACTCTTGCCTGTAGCCACGTCAGTGTGAGAGAAGACACTCAGTTCCTTGCAACGCTAGGTCTTCACTTTGCCTGATTTCGATTTTCACAAGGCGGGCCTTGACAGCTGGAAAGGGGCTAAAGAGCGACGGGTGTTTGATTGGAAGCTCGCCAGTCCATTTTTTCAATTCATTTTCGTCATCCAGTATATAATGCAGCTTATCACTAGCACGCAAACGCTCGAGT